CTTCCCCGCCCCGGCCCCCCGCCCCGGAGCTCGCCTCAGCCGCCCCGAGCCTCCATTTCCCCCCCGCTCCTCCTCAGGAGGGGGTGGGAGGGATGGATCCGCCCAAAGCCCTCCTACTCCAGGAGGGGATCTGTCTCTTTCCCCGGGGGTCTCCGCAGCTCGGGGTCCCCTCCCCCACAGTCACCCCCGGCGCCTCAGCGTTTCCCTTTAAAAAAACGGAGCCGCTCGTAGCCGCCACCGCCGCAGCCGCCGCCGACCGAAGGGCGCATGCGCCGGGAGGGCAGCGGGCGGGAGCGAACCCGGAGCGCAGAGGAGGGAGGCAGGCCGCGCTATTGTGAAAGGGGCCGCCGCCGCGAGGGGGGCGGGTAGGGGGCCGCGGGGGCCCCGGCGCCGGGGGCCGGCTAGGGGAGGCCGGGGATCAGGGGCGAGGACCGAGGAGCCCGCGGAGGAGCGGGGTGAAGGTGGGCTGCCGGGGGAGGGGCGAGTCGGGGGTGGGTCAGGGGAGGAAAGAAAGGGCCAGGGCGGCGAGTGGATGGGGAATGCGGAGGCTCCCCGGGAAAAAGGAGCGTCAGAGAATGGAGTTGTGAGGCAGGAAGGGGGGCTTCGGGAGGTAGAGGCGCCCTTCGTGGACGTGTACCTAACGCTCATGTACCGGGCCTAAACGGGGCGGCCCCTTACCCAGGCACCTTGACAAGCCTCCTAGCTCTGCGGGAGGGGCCCGCGGCCCCCGCAGAGCCGCACGCCTCCTGGACCAGACTCAGGATTCAGGCTTGTGTGTGTTTCCTGGGGGGTAGAATTCTGACCCCTCCACCCCCTCTACTCCCCAGCTGCCCCACACTGGTATGGGAGAAAATGAAGTCCTTTGTCTCTTAAGGGATCCAGACCAGAAACGGACAAACCTCTGGTTCCCAGAGGGAGGAAAATCTATGATGTCTGCTGCTGAGGGAGTTGTTGCTACAACCTCCCTGGAATGAAGTATTGCCAACTACCAACAGTTCTTTCCCAACGGCCATCTCCCCAGCCTTCTGAAGTCACTTCTATCATCTATTGCAAAGGAAATCTCGGAAGAGATTTTTACCTTACTGGGAATAGGAATACTTGAGAGTATTTTCCTATGCTGAGCACTTACTCTTATCTCTAAATGTTCTGTGTGTGTGTGTGTGTGTGTGTGGTGTGCGTGTGTTAATTTCCAGCCAACAAATCCTCAGAGAATTCCTCATGGAAAAACTTTGAAATGGTTTTAATTGATTGTTTTTCTTTTCTGTTGAGGTGTATATATTTTTTCAATCCATATGGTGATGGAGATGACTAACATTTTGGCTTAATGTGATAACCTAATTAAAACTATGTCTTTCTGCTTTGTGGACCCAAAGTATGAAGCACTGGAAATTTTAAACAAATGGGTGTGAATGTGTTAAGAAGCCAAGAGATCCCCAGTCCTCTTCCACCATACTGGGGCCTCAGAACTGCAAGGGACTATTGGGATTAGGGATACCAATGAAGGGGATTTGGTGAGAGGGCACATAGAAAATGGTGACCTGTTTCAGTGTCAAGACTTCCAATACCATCTACGCTGAAAACTGCCAAATTTTTATCTTCTTTCTGTTCTAATCCCATAACTTCAAAATTGTATAGCCAACTGCCTAGGAGACATATCCACTTGCCTGTCTGATAGGCATTTCAAATTTACATCTAAAATCACACTCCTGAATTTCCTCTGCCCAAATCATGTTTTTTCTTCAGCCTTCCTCTTTCTTTTCACCTTATATCCAATCAGTCTTCAATCCCATTGGTCTTCAAAGTATATAGCCACAATCACACACCTTTGGAACACCTCCACATCTTCCACCTTGGTCTAAGCCATAATCAAATCTCACGTTTCTATTGCAGTAACCTTGTAATCAGTCTCTCAGTTTCAACTTTTGCCTTCCCCCACTTAGGTCTGCTCTCAACACAGCAGTCATCGTGATCCTGATAAGACATGAGATCATGTTCTTTGCTCAAAACTTGCATGGCTTCCCATTTTACTTGACGTACAAACAAAATCATCATCATTTTGGCCTATATAGGATCTGGCCCCCTACTCTCTGACTTCCACTCCTATTGCTTTCCCCTTCTTTACTTCCCTTCTGCCACACTCACCTCTTAGCTGTTTTTCAAACACACCTGGCATATGTCTGTTCAGGTCCTTTCATTTACTGTTCCCTCCACCTTCAGATAGTCACATGCCTTCTCTCACTTCCTTCAGCTCTCCTAAATATCATCTTTTCATCAGACCTCCTCTGGCCACCCTATGTAAACTCCAAAATTCCTCTCCTCTTTTTCTGCTTTATTTTAATTCATAGTTCTTAATACCATCTAACATATAATTTACCTTGTTTATTGTCCTCTCCCACTAGAATGTAAGCTTCATGTTTTGTTCACTGCTATATCTTCATACCTGGCACAAAGTAGCACTTAATAAATATTCAGTGAAGGAGAAAATGAGCTGTTGAGCTTTATTAAGAGAAAGCATCTACCCTTGACCTTTATCTTGGTTGAGAATGACAGTCACAACACTAATACAGTTTAAAAAATAGTGAAATCTAGGACAGAGAAGAAAGAATATGATATCTGGAAGGAATTGAGGAAGTGACAACTGAGGTGGGTCTTAAAGGTTGAGACAGTAGAATATTTCAGACAGATGATAACATTACAAAGCATGGGATAAAAGGATGTATTGCAGTAAATGGGAGAAGTTGGCTGGCATTTAGTTTGGATAGTGGGGAGCATAGGGAGTAAAGCAGGTAAAGTGGATTGAGACCAGATTATGAAAAGTCTGAAGGCCCAGTTAAGAATGGATAATTTATCAGTCAAGGCGAACCATCAAAGGATTTCCAGCAAAGTGTGGAATGATTAGATTTGTGTTTTTAAAAGCTAGCAAATATTTCTTTGCACTGATGGCAGGAGGCCAACTTGAAGGCCGTTAGTCCAGGTGTGAGATGATGAATGGTTAATGTACTAGTGGTATGGGGATCTAGAGGGAAGGGCAGGAGACTCAGTGGTTAAGAGCAAAGGCTCTGGTGTGAGACAGCAAGAGGCAATCACGGTTCCACCATTTATGGCTATGTGTTATTTAACCTCTACATCGGTTTCCTCATCTGCAAAATGACTATAGTAGTACTTTACCACACAGGGTTATTATGAGGATTAAATGAGATAATCCATGTAAAGTGTTTATCATAGCGTGTGGCACCTGGTAATGCTTGAGCGTGGTTTTCACATTATCAATTTGCAGAATATGTTGATCAATAGAAAGTGGGAAGGGGTGAGGGAGGAGGACTTGTGGTCAAGATTTCTAAGACAAGACAGATGGCAATTCCATAAACAAAAGGCATGTTTTCTTCCTCACTAGACCAAGTGTGGGCTTAGACTGGCTTCATCAGCATCACCTGAGAACTTGTTAGGAATGCAAATTCTCCAGCCCCACCCTCGACCTAATGAATCAGAAACTCTGGGGTGCATTAGTCTGTGTTTTACCAAGCTCTCCAGGTGGTTCTGATGCACCTCAAGTTTGAAAAACACTGCCTTAAAGTCTATACCAGAGGTTGGCCAGCCTATTCTTAAAGGGCTAGATAGTTAATATTCTAGGCTTTCACAGACCCGGGGTCTCTTGCACTATTTAACTTTACCATTGTAGCAAAAATGACAATATGTAGATGAAAGAGTGTGACTAATGGTGAGTGGTTGGTTAACCTAAGGTACTAGTGGCATCACAATATAGAGGGAATGACAGGTGGGAGATTCAGTGTTTAAAAGCAAAGGCTCTGGTATGAGATCAAGCAGCAATCGGAGTTCCACTATTTCATAAAATTTTATTTAGGGACGCTGAAATTTGAATTTCATATAATTTTCTTGTGTCATGAAATATTATTTTAGATTTTTCAACTATTTAAAAATTCTGAACTTATTCTTAGCTTGTGACAAATAGGAAAACGGTTATTGGGCTGGATTTGGCACTCAGGCTATAGTTTGCCTACCACTGGTCTAACAGACTTATAGACTAAACTGGAGCCGATCTTCAACAAAATGAAAAAAAAAAAGCACTAAATAGTACCCATTTAAGTCAAGGCAGGGTGGCCTAGAACTGATATTTATTTTGAGATTACATGCTTCCTATTTTGTGTGTGTTAAGATGTCCTTTCTTTTGTGAAATGGTGGTGATAGTAAATAGCAATTGGTGGTGGTAGTTTTTTTAATGTCCTTACTTGGCAAAATAAAAAGTTGGCAATCTTACATCAGTCCCCCACTTTTTTTTTTTCTGGAAACTTTACAGCTCAGAAATCCAAAGTGTAGGATTTCACTGCTCCAGACTAAGTAAACATGCTTTTCTCCCCCAAAACCAAAAGGCTGGAATTTTGGGATTGGAAGTCTGCTCTTGATCTCCATTCACAAGATGAGGTGGATAAACCACCACAAAACTGAAACCTGGGAAGAGAAAGAAGCTCTTCTAAGACGGAAAGAGAATTCTTGCTTCCAAACCATTAGGTTTTAAGCTGTGGAAATCCCTGAACTAAGACATATAAGGACTCAAGATAGCAAAGAATAAAGGCCGAGAGGGAGAAGTGGAGCTGCCAGCTGTGAGGGAGCCTAGGAAACCTGTAGGACCCATAAATCAAATCCCCAAACAATTCTCTGCCTATTTTATCTCTAATGGGATAATGATCATTCCCTTCTGCCCTCTGGCTAAAAGTAGGGATAGAATTAAAGCCGACACTTTCACTATTTCTCTAGGGGTTTTGGAATGGTGGAATTCCGTTTCTATAACCTACATCCTTTGAAAGGAATGCCTATGGTGTGGAAAGTGCATGCGGCAAGCCCTTTTACATGTCTGGGTCTTGATTTCCCCAGCCCAAAAAGAAAATTGAAATAGGTCATCTTTAAGGTTCCTTCCAGCTTAAAGACTGTATGAAGCTGTGTTTTCTTGCTAACAGTGGTCAGAACTAGGTCTTTTTTTAAAAGGGGTTTGTTTTGACTTTTCCCCAGGGAGCGAGGATTCATCTGGGCGGCTTCCTCCTGAGGCTCTTTCTTGGAAAGGTAAATATAGATGGATTGCGTGACTGGCATTACCCCAGCCCCACATGGCACCGAAATGAGACCATGGATGGAGAGGACACCTTTCCCTTCTTCAGAAGGATGGGAGGCTGGGGAACCAGCATGGAGCCAGTTTCCGGCTCCAAAGCTCGGCCCCGGGTCCGAACTTTTTCTGGCAGACAAGACACCCTGTCCTGCGTTCCAGGCATCCACAAGCAGGGTGCTCATGTGCCGCTCCCCTTCTCTCCTCTGCTGGGCCTCTCTGAGGGCAGGACACATTCCCCCTGCTGCCTTTTTTTTTTTTTTTTTAATCACAACTCAAATTTGGGTATTTTCCTCCCTTTGCCAGCCCCGCCAAAACTTTCAGTGGGCTCCGCCCACTCCACGTGGACCTCCCTTCCCTGTCCCAGCAACCCCTGCGAGAATCCCACCCCCAACACGTGATCAACCAAACATTGTTGTGTTTCCTTCCTGGGGCTCTCTTCGCTGGCACGAACTAACGACTGAACAAAAGTGCCCCCTTCAGGGTGATTGTGAGGCAGCAGCCTGGGGAGAGTAAAGTTGACTGAGGGCGGGATGGAGTACAATAGGGGAACGTGGCTGCCTCTGCTTAAAATGATTTCGTATCTACATAGCTCCCTCATTAATAATTAAAAGATGAGGCAAATTCAAGAGAAGGGATATCATATCAAAGAAACTACTTTGGGACTAGAGTTGATGTGTTAATCCCTAGCTGCAAAGTTGGTTACCTCTACTCCACCTCCATTTTCCGTAGAGCTCTTCATGATATTGGCATAGCTCTCTGAGATCCTCACACACCGGACAAGAACCAAGTGTTGTTTAATTATGGGCTGGATAGCGGGAATATGGACTCTCCTAGGGACAGTGTTCTGCTTTTTGCCTCCTTCACCACCTACCTTTCCCCAACAATACTAGAAGTAGCTCTCCCTTTATGGGCTCATACTCCTGAAGCTGACATAAATTATTTCCAAAACGGAGTCTCCTCGTCTCTCAGCTTTGGGAACAGTTGTCCTGGATGAGAAGAACCCCAGGAGATCACGCTGTAGGAAGGGGGTGTGGGTAGAACAGCAAATATTAGTCCAATGGGAAGCCTTGATGCACAGAACAAGGGGGCTAACCAACAAAAGCTAGAAAATAGAGGTCAAATGAACCCAAACAGAGGGAACCGGTTTCCTTGGGAAAAAATCTGAGCTAGACTTGGTCAATTTCCTCCCCGCATGAGAGACGGGGTATGGAATTGGGGTAATGGAAGGTATGTGGTTGGAAGCCAGCTGGGAGAAAGAGTTGTACGTCATGTCGTACTCGGAAGGAAGGACAGGGAAGGGCAAATTTAAAATCAGAATGACCACTGTGCTATTTGTCCCTCCAAAGTCATAGAGGTCATGAACAGCAGACAGCCCAAGAGCTACAAGTCTTGGAGCCTAAGGAGGTGGACCTCGTTGTAGCCAAGAAGCTCGCTACCCTGAGGCATGTTAAGGAGCAGTGTGTGGAGAAGGGAATGGGAGGAGTCCTAGGGCAAATAGGGAAACAGTGTCCTATCTTTTAGGGAAACAGCCCCAAAGCGATTAAGCTAGAACGTTAAGGACTAGGGAAGCCACTTGCTCTCCTATAACTCAGCATCTGTCAGCGCTCTCATTACCAGGTGCTATTTCCAGAGTTCAGCGCCTAGGGGAGGAAAAGGGAGGGGCCCTGGTGGAGAGACAGAGGGAGACCCAATGGGCTCCTCCCCCAGTCCAGCTGCAGTTTCAGATTTTCGCCACTCGGGGGCTCCCGAGCTCAACCACAGCCCCAGAGGAAGGGAGGGAGAGAGCGAGGCAATCTCTAGAGGACAGTGTGGGATGTCAGTAATGACCCTGAGCAGAGAGGTGACCTAGGGGTCATCTGCTCTGAAGCTGGAGACCCTTCTCGTGGCCGTTGGGAAAGCATCCAGACTCCACCCTCTCTAAAAGGGACTCGTGGCACTGAGAGCCAGCTCCGCACCTCTTACCCTCACCCTCTTCTCTGTGGTCATTTCCTCCTCTGCGCGTTTCCTTCCCCTCCCCCATCCTCGCGGTGGGAACACCATCACCACCCCACCCCCGGCCTGTCAGAGTTGTGAGGAATGCTCTCACCCTGGCTGGGTGCCAAACTCTGGACTTCCTGGGCTTTGGGCTGGGGCTTGGCGGAGGGGAAGCCCTTTGGACAGAAGAGCCACCCAGTCCAGCACAGCGTGCTTACCAGCTCGCTCGCTCGCTCGCTCTTCCCTTCCTCCCTCCCTCCCTCCCCTAAGCAAAAGGTTCATATATCATTCTCTGTCACCACCACCTAATTTCCTACCCCCACAATAGGATTTCCTTGCCAAGGCAAAACATCCACAATCTGGAGGCGGTGGGCATCCTAAACACAAGTTTATAGTGAGAGAGAGAAAAAGCACCTATTTCAGAACCTGCCTTCCCTGTTCCAGAAGGCCTGTAGCTGGAAGGAGAGATTCAGCTGTCAGGGTCCTGAGGTAAGGGGCTTGTAAATGGCGATTTGGCTCTAGGACTCCTTCTGGCTCCTTCTCAGAGCCCTTGGGTGTCTATATAGTAAAGCCTGGGAGTGGCTTTCTGCATATCTGACCACCTTTACTCAGCCTCCATGTCCCTGAAATAAATCAGCTGAAATGTGAACTCACTGGTCCACATCAAGGCCAAGGAAGCCTTTCCAGCCAGCTGCAGTGGACTGGGGGGGGGCGTTTATGAAGAATGGGGAGCAGCAGAAACCACACCCAAATCTAATGAATAGGGAGAGACCAGGCCGGTTGGAGACCTCTGGCTCCTATCCAAGAGGTCGTGCTCAGAAACGTTTTTTGCCTTTGGGGGTTGGAGGGTCGTCTGATATCATCTACAAATGACCAAGTGAGAACTCAGTCCTGCCACACGGTCTCTCAGTCTGTCTCCCTGACGTCGTCATCTGTAGACCTGTGCCAGATTCCCAAGTTCCTATCTTGAAACCTCAGCCCCCACACCCAGGGCCTAGGGGAGAACTAATGTAGGTCACTGCAGCTGAGCCTGCAGGGCTGTCTGCTCCTTGAGCCCAGAGGCTTTCAGGCTCAGAGAGGAAACCTTGCAGGGAAGTGAGAGAAAGGGCTCTATGATAATCAGAGGAAAGCATATTCCTCAAAAAATGAGGCAGGGAGAAGCCAGGTGTCAACTGATCACACTTGAGATAGTAATGGGAGCTGTGCTCCTGAGGGCCTGCATGTGATGGAAGAGGGAAGGCAAGAGAGAGGACCTGAGCAAGGCTTCTATCCCTGGCTTCCTCCAATTCCCCCATGCCTGCCCTTGCTCTGTTTGCCTGTGTAAGGGAACCCTTCAGATCCCCCAGTCCAGTCACTTAGCTCTCCAGGCTCAGGTTTCATTTTCAGGAGCCTTTGTGATTTGCCTTAGGGACCCGCTGCTTCCTCTGGTCACAGTTTCTGGGTCTCAGGAAGTTGGAATAGGCCATGATTGTCCCCACCCTCCCCCATTGAAAGACTTTTCCTGCTTGTTATCTGTTAAACACATTTTGTGGGGTACTTCCAACCCTCTGGGACCTCATTCATTTTCTTGGCTCTCCCTACCCTTGCCTCCAAGATCCCAGGGAACGCATGTGTGTGTGTGTTGCTCATATTCTCTTAGTTATGCATGGGGAGTCAAGGACCTATGGCTGCAACTAGCTTGGGGTCCCCATGGCCAGCAAAAATAGACAATGGATCAGTTTCTACCTCCAGTCTCAAAACCACTTAAACCCCAATCAGTTGCTCTAATAGGAGCCACAGGACAGGAAGAAAAGTAGGTAAGATGGCGAAAGAATAAACAATTACAAACCTAGCGTTTTCTTCCCCTTATTCTTTCCCCAGTACCTTCCCTACCCCTTTCAGATTTCAGCTACTCATCCTCCCACTACGCATCTGCCCCCATTTCCAGAGTCCTTGCACACAATGGCACTCAATAAATGCTTTTTACACAGAGTCGAACTGTGTCTGGTTGTGCTTTCTAGCTAAACTTTGAGTGGAAGAAGCACAAAGGGGGAAAGTGGACATTCCCCAGATCCTGGGCTAGGTTCTCCTACAGGACTGATTGCTGGGGAACAAATGGTTCTCAGACTTCAGGGGGCATCAGCATCACCTGGAAGGCTCATTAAAACTCAGATTGCTGGGCTCTGCCACTGAGTTTATGATTCAATGGGGCCCGAGAATTTGCATTTCCATTAGGTTCCCAGGTGATGCTGAACCTGCTACTAACCCTAGGACTACTAATCTACCTGCTGGCAGGTGGAGACTGAGAACCACCGTCTTAGGGAACCGCAGCCCCTCATCCCAATGCGATCACCCTGAGGGCCCCGGTTGGTTCCAATTTTGTATCATTTAGGAGGAAGAAACAGGTGAGAATTGGAAACATGTGACTCCTGCTCTGCCTTCCACTCCAAGGGGTACAGGGATCTAAGAAAGACAGGGCAAGGATGAGCAGACGGCTGTCTCGGACTGATTATCTGTTCTATCTCTTTTGAAATAGTCCATTGACTCCATCCTTATTGAAAGTCACTTCCCAAAAAACATGTTTTGCAGCAGCAAGAGAGCACTAGGAATTTCCTGTGGCGAGGCAGCGCCAGTGTGGGGAAGGGAGAGGCAGTGCTGAGCGAGCGCCTTCCCTTGGCTCGGGCAGGGCCACGTGCCCCACCCCCTCGCTTGCACATGTCTCCGCCGCCACCGCCAGCAGCAGCCCGGCTGTTTATGAGCGAGTTGTTGTGGTAGAAATGGAGCAGGCTGCACATGCCCGGCCCATGTGACCCCGGCAGCCCGCGTGAGCCTCGAGCCCAGCCGGCACAAACACACTCGGCCCTGTCCTCCGCTGGCGGGAGGAAACAGGAGGAAAGATGAAAAAGGAGAAAGGAGCCCTTCTCCTTGTCTCCTGGCTCTCTATCCTGCTACTGTCTCCTTTTGTCTCTCCTGAAGCACCAGGGGAACAAACACCCAGGAAAGAAACACGGTTTTCCCAGGCACATTCTCCTCCCAGGCAGCCCCTTGGTGTTTATACAACCCCGAGCCCTAGGCCCTAAATGAACCAAAAAGGGCCTCCTCAAGCCAAGAGCACAAAATGCCCCATGCCAGCCCTGAAACTGATGTGCTGTCAGCTGGGAGCCATGTCTTGGTTTCCCTCAGCCTGGGCTTCTCAAATCAGGCTGCCTGGTCCCCTCCTTCTAGGAAGGAGGATGCCACACAGAGATGCAGCAAGTGCCCATTCCAGGATTAGCACAAGGAGAGTTCAGCGATTTGTGGGGTCAGAGACACCAAGCAAGGGTTCTTTCTGTAGCAGTGGTCTGTGGGGTTAGTGGACAGGAAGGGGAAAGTCCTTCTGCCAGCTGGGCATAGGGAGGCGCTGAGGGTGGGGTAAGAGCGGGGAGGGGGGAGGCGATCTGGAAGAACTTCACAC